TAAAAGCTAAAAGTATCAAATGGCTACCTGAAAGCTGTAGTAGCTAGAAGCTAAAATAGTTAAATGCTAACTAGAAACAAAAAGTTTTAAAAAAGCTAACAAAACATTGAAGCAGCATTGGTTTTTTAAATGTTAAAGTAGCAAAAAGTTARCAAAAAGGTAATTGTAGCAAAAGCCTACCCAAAAGCTGAAGTAACTAAATGTTACCTAAAAATAGTAAAAAGCTACTTAGAAACTAACAGTTTTACAAGGCTAAATAAAAGCTAAGTTTGCAAAAGGCTACTTAAAAGCTGAATTAGCGGAAGGTTAGCTAAAAGTAGCAAAAGGTAACCAGAAAGCTGAAGTAGCAAAAGGTTAGCTTAAAATAGCAAATCACAAGCTGAAAGTATCAAAAAGCTTAAAGTGGCAAAATGCTAGTTAGAGCCTTGAGGCAACAATGACTTTCTAAAATATAAAGCAGCAAAAGGTTAGCAAGAAGCAAAATGTTTTAGGAGGCTGGCTAATAACTTAACTAGGAAAACTCTACTTCTAAGCTGAATTTGGAAAGGCTTAGCTAAAAACTAAAGTATCCAAGCACAAGCTAAAAACATCTGAAAGCTAATTGGAAACTAAAAGTAGCAAAAGGCTACCTAGAAGCAAAACATTTTACAAGACTGGCTAAAAGCTAAAGTTGCAAAAAGATATTTAAAAGTTGAAGAAATATAATAGCTAGTAGCGTAAGGCTACCTAAAAGTAGCAAAACACAAGCTAACTAGAAATCAAATGTATCAAACTGCTAGCTAGAACTTTGAAGCAGCAATGGGTTTCTACAGGATAAAGTAGCAAAAGGTTAGCAAAAAGCTAACTAGAAAATAAAAGTATCAAAATGCTAGCTAGAACCTTGAAGCAGCACTGGGTTTCTAAATATAAAGTAGTTAAAGGTGAGCAAAAAGCTAAAAGTAGCAAAATGCTAGTTTAAAGTCACAGTAGCTAAACGTTAGCTAAAACACAACAGAGGCAAAAGGCTGGTGAAACACTGAAAGTAGCAAAATACCGGTTAAAAGCTAAAAGCTAGAATCTACAGGCAGTATAAGGTTTTGTAAAGTCTCGATGATAGTGGACCTTGAGGTCCAGGACTGGGTATCACTGATTGAAAAAACAGCTACGACTTAAAATTTCTGTCACGAAAGGCCGCTGGCCTTTAATCAGCTTATAAATATGAGCTAAAACACAAGCTGACAATGAGCAAAGGAAACACTTGGTTCTCTGCTTTGTCTTCTTGGCTCTCGTCAGCAGTGATGCAGCAGGATGAGGAGACGGTTGCCATGGCAAACACAGTCACTGGGAGTACATTTTTCTTTTCGAGGAGGGGGGAGGGGGGGATTCTAAGGCGTAATTGCCTTCATTAATAATAAAAGATGTGCAAATCCAAAATAAATAAATAAATAAAAAGTCAGACAAATGATTTCCTCAAAGTGTTGCACAAGCTAAAAAACATCCAAACAGATGCTAATACAGTCACAGAGCGATGTGCCTGAATGACAAATGCTTTCAGTTGGGCTGACTGCGTGGACGGATGTGTAACACATGCACATAATGGATGGATTTAAACTGCAGAGTACTGTAACAATATGTTGTGTTCAGTCGTCAGCGGCGGCGCGCCCTGTTGTCTGACGGGAGCTAACAAATGAAACCCTGTCAGCTCGGCTGTGCTTTAGCCTAGCTATCCGTGTCAGCGGTGTCATTCATCTGGCTCGTCTCCGTTGCTTCTTTTGAAGGTGTTCCTCTTTCATCCCTCTCCATTTAATCTCAAACCCCCTGCCTGACAGCTACGTCCCCCCCTCCCTCAGCTCTGTCCCCCGAGTTTCCACGAGGAGTGGACGAGTGGACTGTGGGAGTGATTGATGCCGACGGCTCCGCTTCAGAGCCGGGTGGCGAGGACAAGGCGCCACCAAAGTGGACAGGTGATGAAACGGGGGTCTTTGAAAAGTAAATCTTTTCTACCTTAAGGGTTGTTTACTCCGACTAACATTTTCTGAACTTGAAGCTTTGAAGGATGTTGAAATGGAGACATAAAACCCATCTTCGCTAGTTTAAAGCTTCTCAGTGGAAACCGTGAAATCAAACATAGATAAATGGGCTAGGACCCCTCGAAGGAATGCATGTCGCCCACCGCCAGAGATTCAGACTGAGGTCATCTTCTGATGAGAAGGGATGACTCTCGGTTACTACAAGACCCAGTTTTATCTCAATATCTGTAAAACTTGCTGGGGTAAAGCCAATTTTCTGTAGGCTACGATCGATTAGCTGTGGCAGCTATTATTAATGTGTCTTTTAATGAAATATTCTGTGGCCAGATGCCAACGAAAAAGCCAAAATGTCAGGACCCGTGTTATTTGTCAATGTAGTAATTTCCTTTTTGTTGATTATGTTTCATAATTCTTGTGTTTTATGTGTCTTTTACCCTCTTGTGTTTGGCTCATTTAACACAGCTGCAGCCACTCTTCTCATTAGGCCTGGTTCATATGGCCAGTCAGTTTTATTCAGTGTTGGGGACAGCTCTGCTAATCCACTGACAGCTTAGCTATTTACTTAGCGGAATTGCTAACCTTTGGAACTGTTAGCGGATCGATTAGTCTCCACTAAATTAGTTTTCGCTAACCTTAAATCCACAAAAGAATTCACAAGTGTAAAACTTTTTTATGCCATTCATCTTGAATTAAATAAAAACTATCCACTCTTAAAAGCAGTGCTGGGCGTGTCAGGCACTGTGTGCAGCATGTAGCATCTTTAGCAGCTAAAAAAAAATCTAAAATAAATAAAATAACTTTTAACATTTAAGTAACAAATACAAAAATTGATAGCGTATAAAAATAGTAGAAAAAGTATTTGCAATTTGTTGTTTGCCAAACTTCAGATGGTATTTATAAAAATACAAACTCAATCAAAAAAAAATGCTTTTATTCCGAAAGATGTAAACTGTCACAAGTTAGACAGTTCTATTAATGGTTTGGATTAGCTGATTTGCTACAGATTAATTAAACCAATTGAATCAAACTAACAACAGATTTGTGTCAGTCCCACCAGACTTCACCTTAGCAGTTAGCGTTAGCTCCCATTATTATTATTTTATTATATCAGTTTAGCAGTTTAGCGTTAGCGGAGCTAAGATTCTTGTTTAGCGTATGAGTGGTTAGTGAAACTAACTGTAGCAGGAAGTGACTGAAAAAAGGTCAAAAGTTAAACTCTGCTTTAAGACGCTCCCCTGATTGATCCCCAATATTTATTTTTGACAGGCATTTTACTTGATTTTTTCCTTTTTTTTTTCGTTCAACAGCCGAATCGCTCTCGTGCTTTCACCTAAACAACTCCTCTGAGATTCTGCGCCTGTCTGATGCCGCCATATTTGTTTTGTTTACCTACACGGACTATAACCAGCTTGTAGCTTTCAATGGGTTTTGATGAATTCCCTTTGTTTACATTGAATGCATACCCACACTGCAAAGCTAGAGTAAACTCAAACTGCACCTTTTGATACATTTTGATTCCATAGTTTGCCGTGACTACCTTTTAAATTTCACTGGCAGTTGTGTTGTTCAGCTGAATAAATCTGCCCGGGCGCTGCTTGCGCCTCGCTCTCTGTAGTCCATTAATATTCCGCTCGTCTCCCGTTTCAGATAAAGAGGAGATGCACACTCCTTTTGCTCTCTAAAAACACCAGCTGTGCAGAGCTGTGAGACATCCACAGCAGACGTATTAATAGATTCATACATTCAGGCGAACTTATATAACTGCGGAGTTTGCGAGTGGCTCCATCAATATTTCAGTGTTCGTCTTGCATGATTTATCCCCATGCGTACTTTTTGTTTCCTTATATTTCTCCCCTCAGATTTATTCACCTACATTCAAAACCGAGCCACCTGGGCGCTATCAGGGAAAGGGGGAGGGGAATAGCGGGGAGGAGGTGAGTTCCTGCATGAGCAGATATCAGCCATTGTGCAGTCAGGTGGGTGTTGATATGCTGCTGGCGCCCTGAACAGTCCTCCCTTTCATATCCTGCTCATCTCCCCCCCAGTCCTCTTGCCAACACTTCCTCTGAGAGCCTCTCTGTCACTCACGAGCCTCGCCGTGCTCGTGTTTTTACCCCACTGCCCCTGCTGGTTCTCAGTCCTCCAAACCAATTAGTCGCTCAGTCGTCGACTGGACCAGGAGTCTGGAAACTTCTGATAGAGCAGCCCGAGTGACGAGCTTTGCTGCGTTATGTTGTGTTCGTTTACAGGGATGAGCATCCACCTCGGAGGCGCTGAGCCGATGTAATTACACGCCACTTATTCCCCCCCCCCCTCATTTTTATTACCTTTTTCTCTTTGCACTCACCGTCGCCGGCACAAAAAAGCGAAAACAGCCCGTGCGTTATCGCCGCGATGATTCACCCGTCAGTTCACATGGCGGTGCTCTTCTTCCGTCTCCCTGCACACTCACCCGGTGCCGCTGCACAATTTTCACCGGCTAAATATAAAATTTGTGGATTCAGCGCTAACATAATATAGGAACAGATTTGAATTTGACGTTGTGTTTAATTGCAGATGTGGTCAGAGGTTTATAGACGCTCATGCATGTTGGTATTTATCGGGACGTAATGGTTTTTCAACATACAACTTTAATTGTTCGAATTTATTGAGGGTTTTATTTAATAGCAGTCAACCACAACCTTTTTTGTCTCCATCAACAAGCTTCTGATTGATATTTTAACCCTCTTCTTCAAGGAAGGGCCAGTAGAGTTAATTAAAATTGTCTGATTTCTTGCTAAAGTGCTAAAACCGTTCATTGGGTTGAGGTCTGAGCTTTGGGAAGGCCGTTTTAGAAGCTTAAGGTTAGCCCGACCTAACCAATCAGGAACTAGTTCTGGTTTGGGTTTATTAACCTGTTTGAACACCCGAATGTGTCCAAGTTGTACTCCACCTTCATTAGTACCGCCCCCATGTTTGATGCTACAGTGTTGTCAGGTTTGAAAGCCTCACCTCGACTCATCCGATGAACTTGAAGGTGTCACTTTTGGTGCAGGAGCTACTTTCTTAAACATCTCGGTGGTTCCTCGAGTGCTCCTGAACATCCAAACCAACTTCCTTTTGTCTGAAGGTGGCTGATGAGTTGAAGAGGATGGCTTGCTGTGGCGATATGCTGAAGAAGAAGTTGTACAATCATTTAATGTGGAATAAAAGGTTCAAAATTACCATTAATGGGATCCATGATTAGTTGTAACATTAGACTTTATTTGATAAACATATTTTAACTGTAAAATAAAGACTCTAAAAATACTGTAGGCTGTTTAGTTTTGTAAATTAAACATATAAAAGGATAGCATCAATGCTACATTGCCTTATACTGTATGTATTAGCTCGGTGCTAACGCAACAAGCTAACAAGCWRMWCTGWKGTCCTCCATCCATATTTTCAGTTMCAGGCTGAGTCATTTCTACCTTCTCCTCTCTGTCAACGCTCTCTGGTTTCATTTAAAAGAGTCGATCATCAGATATTGTCCAAGATTAACCTTCAGGGTGGATATAGCTCGCTAGCAGCCTCACACCAAGGACCTACCTACGTCATCATTTACCCAGAATGTTTTGCGTGTAAATAAAATGTCTCGTTTCGTGTTAAAATATATTTTTAAAATTTTAGTTTGAAATTTATAAAAACTAAACATCCTACAGTATTTTTACAGTCTTTATTTTACCGTTAAAACAAATGCTTATCAAATACAGTCTAATTTTACAACTAATTGTGGATCTCTTTAAAAAATCCAAAATTAATAACATTTATGCTCATGAGTGGATGGAAACATGATGGTCTCTATGTTTAACACCAAATATTTGACTCTATAAACTGATCAAAGTGCATCTAAACACACCTGGAGATTTTCTGAGCAACACAGTGGGTTACCTAGTTTCCCAGGAAATAAGAGTTATCCAATTAAATAACTCTGAGAACCATAGTAACATGCGGTAAACACAGCCAGGCTTCGCCGTAAGGCTGTTATTCAATCATCAGAAGTAAAAACAAACAATTACTGCAGAGTGACCCTAATGCAGCAACAAATGAGAATTTATGCACCAGGAAGCGTGGGCCGGGAATGGAAGTGATTCATCCCTGATACTCGTTGGCAAGAGACCGCTCGAGATCCTTATTCACAAGAATAATGATGATGCTGATGAGCCGCGCGTTTATTATTTTTGCTGTCTAAGTGTCTTTCATGTCGAGGACAAAGCATTTCCCGGGGATTTTGCATTTCAAAGACGCGCGGCGGTTTTGCTCTGATTAGAATCGATGCGAGGACGTTAGCGAGGCTAATTAGCCCGGCGCTAATTGTGCGACTGAATAAGTTATGGCAGGGGCGTATTATTAGGGATCAGTTAATACCTCGTAATGCTCCATCTGATATTTTGTAAATTTTCATTGTTCTGTGCGTTTTTGTTGCTTTTATACGTAGATGGCAGTTTTTCAGAAACTGAAAAGACGAGCCCAAAAACATCCTCCTCCTCATTCACATTACCTTCAACACAGATTTTTTATTTTAGTCACGTTGTCACTTTTTTTGTGTGTGTGAAGGAATCACATTTCAAAGCTGGCTCCGTCTCCCAGTTGCCATGGTAACTCTAACAGAGCCGGGATGCCTGGATGCACAGAGACACATTTACAGACGGTGTGCAGAACTAGATTTAACACCCGTCTGTTTAACATTTCTAAGCTGCTTGTTACCGCTTCATATTTCTTTTTACAGATAAAATACACGAGGAGTTTATTTGTTTGGATAAACTCACTGGGGTTACTCCCGGCTCGTGTGTGAGATGTGGACGCGATGGGTTTACGCCCATTCTCTCGGAGCGCCGCGGGACGTAAATGATGCGGTAACGCAGCCTGTCAGATCTGAAACTGGATACGGGTGACGATGCTTTTGTCTGCCCGTCTCTGAGGACTGGGAGGAAGACGTTTGGACGAGTGATCTCAACAAATCAGACCCTGCGTTCGCCAAATTCTGACTTGGGGATGGTTTGAAGACACAGATTCAAACAATGGAAAAACATCTAAATTCATGTTTTTTCCACCCAAATATCTTTACTTAAATTTTAGCAGTTTAATACAGCTTAAACATTCATCAAAAACAGCAACATTGGTAATATTATTTAGACACTGTATTAAAGCAAAATCAAAATACAAACATAAACCAACAAAGTGCCCTGCACTAAATTCTGATTATAATGCAACCCATCACCAATTACATACAACATAACTATAATAAATTATCCAACATAACTGTGTATGTATCTTTAAATAGCTGTTTATAATTAGGAACTGCAGTGTACACCTCCTTCAGTCATTTGGACTATCTTCTGGCATGTTTGATCTTGAAGCTATATTATGAAGGGATTCCAGATGCAATCAAATAAGTCCTGTTTGCCCTTTAAAGTGCCAGTGACCTCAAATTTTTGTAATACATATGAATGCATTTTTAGAAAGAGGACATTGACAAAATATTGCAAAAGAAATTTCATGTCACTGAGATGAGCAGTTGTTGAGATATTTGATATTTGCCTGTGAAGTAACAGGAAGTGATGTCAAAGGGGAATGTCTGCATGTGAACAGAGCGTTGCTACAACAGCCAAACACCCAGACTGTAGAGAAGAATCTGATGTTTCTTTAGATTATTTTGAGTCACTATCAGAGATACGAAGAAGAGTCAGAGTTCAAATAACATTGTTTCAATAAACAAAGACCAGAGAGATTTCTTTGTTAAAGAGCCCCCCTTTGATGTCACTTCCTGTTTCCCTTTGGCTGAGCCAAGTTCAAAAGAAAATATGCCAGTTATGTGACAAAATGGGTTAAATCGTGTGTATTATTCCAACTTACTTAAATATAAAGATGTTTCCTTTGACTTTTTGTATTTGAAGAATATGCATGTCACAGGAACTTTATGTAATCTTTTCTAGAGGGAAGGTGGATAACATCTGTCAGATCCATTGGTTGACATTCGGTTTATGAGTCTTTTTCCAAAACACTGATTTACATTGTTTTGCATTGAAAAAGCATAAGTTTATGAATGTTTGTTCATTTTTAGTATAATTATGTTTATCTGGGTACAATCCAAAGAAAAATAACTTTGGATCCACTTCAGTTACATTCTTTACCTCTTTCCAAAACAACATCATTTCCCAACAGTACCACATACAGTGAGCCAGAGTCCCTTTGTCTTCTGTACATTTTGTGCATATATCAGGTATTTCCATGTTATACCTATTGAGGTCTACTGGTGTAATGTAAATTCACATCAGCCATTTGAATTGGATCACTTTCAGACCTGTGTTAATGGAGATGTGGGCCAATCTTCGTCATTAACTCTAGCCATTAATCTTTATTCCAAGCCTGAAGTCATCATAAGATCCTCCAGAAACATGTAACATCATTGAATGGTAGAATTTGGATATGATTCCTTTCTTCAAACAATCCTTTGCTAACATTTTTTCCAAAGATGATTTGGTCGGTTTTGTCAGATTAATCATGTTTTTTTTTATTAGAATCTAGACTGGATCATCAAATATACTGTAGTTTAGTTGACGTTTATAATCCTGCATCAGAAAAGCAAGAAAAAAAAGTGCACAAAAGGATGAACTTTCTTGCTTTTTGACACAAACCTTGAACATTAAACTCTATTATAATTATAAAAAAGCTTCCTGAAAACGTATTGTGAATGTTTTATGACTCATAAGTTGCAAATGTTTAATTCCAAGTTAGAAATTTCTCACTAAACCAAACTTTAAAAACTAAAAAGGCTGCTTTGTGCAAGAAAATTGGTGCATCCCTGCAGTTTTATATCTGATTAAATGAATCCATTCTGGTCTTCGAGGTTCACTAAGCTGCACGTTTTGGTTGTTTCTAGCTTTCAACACACAGCTACACTGCACAGCTATAAACCGGGAGTTTAATTTGCACCTGTCTGCAGTTTGTGCAAATTTCAAAAAGAAATGTTTATGGGGAAAAAAACGACGAGCCAAGATTCTTTCAAGCGAGAGCACCGTGTCACGGCGGCCCTCGCATATTTTTCCCCGTCTCTGGCTGAAAGCCTCGGCGGTGAGTGAGTTAGCAGCCAGATGGCCTCGTGTACATCCACAGCTGACTCACAGTAACTGGTAGCTGAGTCCCTGCTCTCCTCTGCAGGCTGTAAATCATTCTATTCTGAGCCACCGTCAGGCGCTACTTCTTTTCCAACGAAGCGTTTTTGATTTTTTTTTTTTTTAGCGGGGACGGCAGGGAAAAATGACTAAATCTCGAGTTGCAGGAAGGAAGGTGAATGCAGCGCAGAACGAGGATGGATATAATTGAGCCGTCTTTGTGGACCGTTCGCTCGCTCGCTCCTCTTTCTTCAGACTGGCTGGTAACCATGGCGACGGCCGGTCTCGTTACCTGCAGGAAGAGGAGGGAGGAGGAGGAGGAGGGATGAGAGGAGCTCGTGACTTTGAAGCTTGGGTTACCAGCCACGGCGGGTGGAGGGGAGCGGAGGGGAGGGATTTTGCACAAAGACCACGCTGTTCTCTACACATCCTTTCAGCGCTCCAGCAGCCAGAGAAGGAAACAAGATCAATGGCACGAAGCAGTTGATTAGAGTAACTCAATATTACGAGTCGGGTTTCCAAAGATGCTTTTGGAGCAGCGTCCATCTCTCATGTTAGCAGACTTCACACGCCATGAATTAAACTCTTCAACGTTCCTTCAGAGTACAAAACGGCATTTCAACGTGCTCTCCACACAAACATGTTTTTGTTTATTCTTGTTTATTTTTTATCCTTTTGTTTCTTCAGTGCCCTCTGCTCCTCGTCTTCATTGTGTCTCAATTCAGCGGTTGCAGAGGGCATAGGGCGCATTTGTGTCCAACTTAGCTTAAACTGTTGATTTCTCATTTAAAGTGGATGGTAATGAGATAAAGTAAAGTCAGTGAGGTGAAATTTCTGGGTGTCATCGTGGATGACAAGCTGACATGGAGACCTCACATACATTATTTGAGAACCAAAATATCTAAATCTATAGGAGTAATGTATAAAGCCAGGGAGTTATTCAATGACAAAACTCTGCTTGTGTTGTACAATTCAATAATTGTTCCACATTTAATTTACTGTATTGAAATCTGGGGTA